CTGTTGATTTTCATACCCAAATTCCACAATTCTTGCCATGCTTAATATTTACTCCATCACATAGCTTCTCAGCCATTGTATGTAATTTTTAAAAATCGTCCAAATTAAGTGCTTGCCGTAATATGATTTTTCTCCTTATCAAAGAATATAATTTTGCGATTCTTCGTTTATAAGTCGAGTTTCGAGACTATGAGTTATATAATTTGTATTCACCCTATTTCGTTAAAGGTGGTAAAGAACTGGCAGTTGAATTCTCCCCTAATGATGTGAGTAGAGCTGACGCTTCCATTGACTTTCACATAACCTTGCTTCCCAAAAGGTGTTCTTATCCAGAGTGGACTGCAATTTCAACTTCGCCTTGGTCTTATCTACACCCCTAGCGGGAGTCAAAGCACTACACGTTAATCACTACGCCACATTACCACGACTGTCCTTGGGTCACATGACAGATGTGAATTTCCAGAAAGGCCAGGCATTTTCCAATTTCATATTCTTCGGTGGGATTGCCGATGAAGCGAAGTTAAATTTGCAATAACAATCAACTACTTTACTCACTTTTCGTTCATAAGTAAGGTTTCGAAACTACCAGTAAATCAGTTATATGAGATGTATTCACGCTAATTCGTTTATGGTGAAGAAGGAAGGAATTCAAATACTAACTAAATCATAAAATGCACTGAAAAGGACTTACTTCTATTATGAAAATTACGTTTAGCAACAATACAAAACTTTGGAATATTTTTACAAAAACGAACATATATATTTTAATATTCACCTCTAAAAGACTGTTAGTAACTTAAATTTCTTTAAGGACACTTTATATTTATATTTTGAAGATATCCATTCAAATAAATGACTGGGAATTGCACTTAACTATTTCATTGTGCATTCATGAATAAAATTATTTTATCGTAGATATGAAGACCAAGATAGTGTGGCTTTCTGTTTAGTCGCAGTCTCCTTTAGCTTTTTAATGTTGTTTGTTCGACCTTGTGGAACGTACCTAGTCTCGTGTCCTCTGCCATAGTGTTCGTGATTTCCGGCATTGAACCATTGGCTGGGTACATTCCCAAACGCTTCGCCGGCATTATCAGTGAGAGGCGCCATCATAAGCACAAAGTTACAACTTATCAACCTGATCTTTCTTTTCTGGTGTTTTTCCCATATGAAACAAGTCTTTCTGTTGCATTCAAGTCAATTGTGTGGCCGGTAAGGGCAGTGTGTTCAGCTATCTCCGATCCTTTTGTATCCATTTTTCTGCATAGTCGCTGGTGTTCTTTGATCCTTGTGCTGATTTTCATTTCCGTCTCTCCGATGTATTTTTGTTCACAGTCTTTGCAGTTTATGCTGTAAACTCTGGAGCCCTCCACTTTGTTGACTTTCTGATATTGTGTGGGCAAGCTGGTGAAGAAGATTGTCCTTTGCTTCAGGATTGTACGAATGTTCCTTTTCCAAAGTATTGGCCGTAGCTTCCGAGCCAATTTGCTAGAGGGTAGCTATATCCATAATTTTTTTCTTCCATAGTCTTCGTCCTTCCATTTGTTCATCATCATCCGTATGTTGCACTGTATTGCTTCTGAGAAATTAAGGTGTTCCTTAGAAACGGATATCCAGAATAAGCAATACAACGCAACATACGGATGGTGATAAACAGATGGGATGACTGAGACTATGAAAGGAAAGCAAGAGGATCAGAAGAAATTTATGAATATGTCTAACCTTCTGCGAATCGGCTCAGAAGCTATGGCCAATACTATGGAAATGGAATATTCGTATAATCCTGATGGAAAGGAAAATTCTCTTTATCAGCCTGCCCACCTAAAATGAAGAAGTCAACAAAATGGAGCACTCCGGAGTTTACAGCATAAACTGCAAGGAATGTGAACAAAGATACATCAGAAAGACGGGAAGGACAATCAGCACAAGGATCAAAGAACACCATCGACTATGCGTAAAAATGGATTCGAAAAGATCGGAGATAGCTGAACACATCGCCTTTACTGGCAACATAATTGACTTGAGCGCAATGAAAAGACTGGCCTCATATGGGGAAAACACTGGTGAAATGAAGATCAGGGAGGCTATGAATATTTCCTTTCAAAGAAACCTGATGAACATTAGATTGGAAGAGGGAAGTGTCAGCGATAATTTCGCGTATTGCCTTGGCAGATTTGGAAATTCAGCGAAAAAAGAATACGTTTGGACCCAGGACAACTGTTAAACAACAGGAAGAGACATGACCATGGAGCGGCTTATGAAAAACAAAGGGAAGTCAAGAAAAGGCGATTGCAGTGAGAGGAGTAAGACATGAAATAGGCCAAAAAAAATAAACCCAGGGGTCCACCTGCAAGATATAGGATATTAAATTAAAGGTTAAAGCTATGGGTGAGCTGGATAGAGGTCACCAGTGTGTGCGTGAGTGTCGTGTGTAATTTTTGTATCTGTGTCAGAAAGGGAGGTGACTGATGATAGGCTTGAACACGAGGGATATCAACCAATACACACACACGGGCATCAACCCAGTACCCTAGGATTAGTTGTGAATGTCAACTTGAGAGTTGAGAGGAGTGTTTTTTACGCGATTTAAGGGGAAAAAAGGAAGCAATGCATTCTCACATAAGCAGTTACGACTTAAGCCATTCACAAGGTTCCAAAGAATGAGACACAATGTGGGCGCGGATGAGGGAGATGACAATTGAGTCACGCGTTTGAAACCTATGGAGATCAAGATTCCCAGGCACTGACATGTGCATCATCTGCCTTAACTCCTCGAATATGGCGCAATCGAGGACGGGAATGGAAGGTTCTTAGGCAGCTAGATTTCAGACAGCCAGTGATTTTTAGCTTTAGCAGCAGCCAATTGACAAGCCGGTAGGAAAAAAAGGAGGGCAGAATGTGGGCAGGAGCCCTGCAAACGGCATCTGGTACCGCTGGTGGAGATGATTGCGCTCCACTAAACCCACTTGTAGCGACACACACTTAGGCCACATTGGATTAAACGAGAGTACAGAATTGTGTGAATAAGTGGATGGGCCATATGAAGTGGAGTGGAGAGAAAGAGATGCGGCATTAGTAGGTAGAACAAAAAATAGGAACAAGTAGTGATGCCACAACAGTTGAATAGATAAGTGTTCAATGGAATTGCCTCCACTTGTCACTTTGATAAGTTGTGATCCTGTATCTACGATGGCGCCTCTCACTGACACTGCAGGTGAAACGTTTGGGAATGTACCCAGCCAATGGTCCAATGCTGGAAATTACGAATAATATGGCAGAGAACACGGAAATAGGTACGATCCACAAGGTCTCTGACGTTTCAACCAAGTTGCGAAAACAAGGTCGAACCAACACTATAAAATTATTTAATATCGCCTTTTATCCACTAATGAAATGAATACGTAACCACAACTTCGGAAGAATTTTCAAATATTTACTTATTCCTCATATTTTGCCTTAATTAGTAATAAAGAAATGTTATAGATACTGGGTTTAGACTAATCTCCTGAGATAACATTGTTGGGGGGACCTTCATTTCTTATAAAAATGTACTTTCATACGAAATGAAAGTCCCCCAACAAATAAATGTTAGCATTATATTATACTTAGATAATATAATTTTGCACTATAGTAGAGAAAAATGTTTTTTAATAGGTACATATAATCAAATAAGTATTTTCAGTGGTTTTGTATCTTCCTATATTCTCAGTATTCCACATCCCCCCTAATAATCTTTCAGTCTTTTCACATGCTGCCTGATTGTTTATATCAGTACTGTATTCATCTTAGGCCACATAAGGTGATGAAAGACTTATAGTTTAATACTATCATCAGTCTTTGCGATGCCGTTAAAATTAATACAGCCTTTCTCCAAAAAATATCCTTATCCAGGATGGACTGCAGTTTCGACCTCATATAGGAGGTCGTGAGGCCTGATCATATCATCGTGAGACAATTAAACCATCAATTTTTTATCACATTATGTATAAAAGGGTGAAAAAAGTGACTTCCAAATATACTGATTGTATCTAAACCTATTCACTATATTTTTTTTAGTTATATGCTTACGCTAATCTTCGAGGCTGTGACTCCGAGAGGGCCTGTTTTGATGGCGGTGGTATGGTGGCGTTTAGGGGTAAGTTGATCTGTTGCCTCCAGCAGTTCGGATTGGCCGAAACCGAGCTGGCTAGGGTTGTTGTAGATGTTCGAACCATACGAGCAAACCGCACGGTCAGTCGAAGCTTTGGTCGCGAGGCTACTGTTGAGCTGGCAACTGAGAAGGGGTATCCAATTATCGAGGTGAGTATACTCTTCCTCTTCTCTAAAGCCTCTTGTTAAGTTATCATAATATAATGGTTAGATGAACAAAAAGTGATTGACATAGTGTTGATAGCGATTTTAGAATATTTCTTTTATGAATGAAGTTTATGTCAATGCTGTTAAAATTTATGAATTTGTAACCTAGAAATTGGCTACGTAAATGTGAATAAGAAAGAAACCTTAATTTGATTTGCTGGCACTTTAATGGGTTTAATAAAAAAATATCTAAGCAAGAGGTGATGATCATACCTAATCTGGATCGAATAGTCCTAGAGGCTAGGAACAAAAAAATTGGGTTTCGAAGAATTTCTTAATGAAATATTGCGGCATTAATCTCCATTTTGAAGGGAAAGTTGGTTGGAAGGAATTCGTCATGTGGTCTCACCTGGAAACCGAAGGAGGACTGTTGTGTAATGAAGACTGTTGAATTGTGCGAAGAAGTCCTCGGCTCACCGTCCTGCTACCCAGATGAAAATGTGCTAAGCTTTCGTCTGTACCACCCTGACAGACATCATCAGAGTAAGATTCCATACTTTACGAAATAGAGCAAAAATATACAAATCCATGAGAAAAGGTGGCCGGCTGCAACCCTAGTCGCTTTTTATAGACCTAGCATCGCGATCTTAATGATGCCTCTCATGATTTGGTTGGCTAATCAGTGAAGTTTACTTCCCCAACCGGAAGTGCCTTCAAGGGCAACTGTTTCATCACACACAAAAACTTGCGTACAATCGCATATTCTTGAATCATGTTTGGGTGTATGCCTTTGTAAATTGTGTGTATGCAATGCTCATGTCATGGGTAGTATGATAGTCCTGGCTAGACACGAGGCTGATCCTCGTCGTCAAACGTAACATTTGATTCACAATCTTGTTTGCCTGTGCCTACATTCAGTCGTAGGAATGATAATGAATTCATCACTTTCTCTTTAGTCGCATAGTTTTATTCTATTTTCATTTTAGTTCAACGAATAGACTTCATGCATTCGAAACGAATTTAATATATTGTTAACTTAAGTTAAAATAGAAGTGGGTTGACCTCGTTGTCGCAACTTGGTCTTGTTCTCAGGGAGACCATGTAGAACGCACCT